ATATTACCTATTTGTATTAGCTCGGCGCTAGCACGACAAACATGCTAAACTGAGGTCCTCCATTCACATGACAGAGAGGGGAACACAAAAATTACTCAGCCTGCAACTGAAAATATGGATGGAGGACCTCAGTTTTTTTGTGGTGATAGCGCTGAGCTAATACATATGAGGCAATATAGCATCAGCCCTAGCACAAAGGCTAGCAGGCCAAGCTGAGGTACTTCTTCCATGAAGCAGCTCTGTTGTCCTCCATCCATATTTTCTGAGTCATTTCTACCTTCTCCTCTCTGTCAACGCTCTCTGGTTTCATTTAAAAGAGTCGATCATCAGATATTGTCCAAGATTAACCTTCAGGGTGGATATAGCTCGCTAGCAGCCTCACACCAATGACCTAGTTGACATCATCATTTACCCAGAATGCTTTGCGTGTAAATAAAATGGCTCTGTCCGTGTAATATATTTTTAAACTTTTAGTTTAAAAATGATCAAAACTAAACATCCTACAACATTTTTACAGTCTTTATTTTACAGTAAAAACACATGTTTATCAAATAAAGTCTAATGTTACAACTAATCAGGGATCCCTTTAACTGTATTTAGCTTGTTTGAAGGTCCAAGCTAAGCTAGTTGTGGTATGTCTGTGTGTGTTACCTCCATCCAGGCTGCGTGAGTTCCTTTTGCTGGAGGAGCGCTGGAACAGAGGAGCCGGTCTGTCGATCAGAGAGCTCGCCTGTCTGGTCTGAGCCTGAGTCCGTCCGCTGTAACGAAACTTTGAGCCTAAAGCCAGGAACTTCCTGGGAGTGGTGGCCATCTCAGTGGAGGTCAGCCTGCGTATGAAAAACAGAGACACGGATCAGTTGCTCTGACAAGAAAACCCGACAAACGGTTGAGACTTTCCTCATCACCGCAGAAAGACGAGCGTACCTGAAGAAGGTGTGATGTTCAACACACACTTTCCACAGCTTCTTAGCTGCTTTATAACTGGGTAGTTTGAAGCCAATCGCACTCTCATACTGCTCTGTCTGTGGAGCCAAAAGGAAATAAATTAAACTCAATGAGGTTTTTGTTTTGGTAAAGTTTAAAAAAGAATAACCCGGAGGTGGTCTACCTCAGATGGACGTATTTTGATGAAGAAGCTGCTGTGTTTGTAGGACACCTTGAGGACTTTGGGCCATGGGAAACGATTGATCCTCAGCTTGTCTTTGTAAACCATCAGACCACCAGAGCAAACCCCGAGCATGATGTCAACACCATCCAGATCCTTAGATTCCGCAGAAAGACATGTTAATAAAAACTAACATGAACTATAAAATATACAGAGGAAGAAACACCTTGTTTGACTTTAGAATGTGTGAGATTAAATATAATTCCTTCTATTCCTTGTCCCATCTCTCTTGGTGGCATAAATTATACACAGTAAATCTCATGAACTGGTTCCAGTTGTCCACCAGGGGGCACTGTTGTCTGCAAAAAGCTCCATGAAAATGTCCACACAAACACTGATGTGCTAACAGCCTGACCTGATTTCTGCTGTAAAACAGAACCAGTCACATGTTTCCTGCTTTCCAGGCCAGACAAACAAAAACACTGAAAACACAGGCTCCATGCTGCACGTCTATGGATTTAATCACATTCAGTCATTCCTGGCTTTTTGTAATATGAAATCATTTTTGTCTTATTTTATGTTTTTAATGCTGTATCCTGGTGTGTGTTCATATTAACTTGATTTTATTCAGTAAAGCACCTTCTGGTGTGAAATGTGCCAGACAAATAAATTAGCCTTGCCTGATTTGTGTCTGTTAAAGGAATATATCCTTAGAAACTAAAGTGTTTTTTTAATGAATCACTAGGTTGAAATTTATAATTCATTAGGTTTTAGGTTCAAGATGGCGGTCACAGCTAACTGACCTGAGAAAATCTCCTAAATAACAGAAAACGTTTTCAGATGCTGAGGACTTTAGCGTGGTAGTAACTGAGCACTGTCCCCAACACATTTATTTATTTTATTTAGAAATGTATTCATTTCATTTAAAACATTTCACAAGATCTTTATTTAAAAACTTGGCAATAAACTTGCTTTTCTGTTAGCAAAATTTCCCCAAAACCACTGCACTGGTTTTAATAAAACTCTCATAAGTCATAATTGTCCGCACATGTAACTGTTTACCTTTTAATTTGGATTCACTTTTGGAGTTAGTCAAATTAAGCCACAAAATAAAATCCTAGTCTGCACAAAAACACCCCCAACTCAGTTAATTTTACAGATACTGAGCTAAAATTTGGTGTGGTAGTGGCTGAGAGACACACATATTCAGTGCTCTAACCCCTAATTTACACTAGATGTGGTTCCGCTGTGCTGCTCAGTTTGCTGTCGTTCGTATGCACCCTGATTTACACAGCGTCCGGTCCGATCTGAAACACAGAGGACATCTGAGGAGTGTGTGCAGGAAACGCAAGATTGTGTGATAATATCAGTGATACAGTATATATAGAAGTCAGAGCAAAATAATTAATTCTGTGGAAGATGGACTCCAAACACAGCTGAAACTGAATCGCTGCTGTCTTTTTGAAACTTCTGATTTCAAAATAAAATCCACGTGAATCATGCGTTTATACATATGCACACACAAATTGGAGCATTAATGTTCGCTCTATGCTTTACACATGATATTCCATCCATCCATCCATCCATCCATCCATTTTCTTCCACCTATCCGAGGTCGGGTCGCGGGGGCAGCAGCTTCAGAAGGGAGGCCCAGACCTCCCT